CCATCATCAACCTCATCATCACCATCATCATCGGGACACCATCATCAGCATCATGGTCATCATCATCAGCATCATCATACCATCATCTCATCATCATCAACAGCATCATCATCACCATCATCATCACCATCGACACACCATCATCCGCATTATCAGCATCATCATCATCTTCGGGACACCAGCATCATCACCACCATGGCCATCATCACCATCATCATCAACATCGTCAACATCATCATCATCGTCATCATCATCGGGACACCATCATCATCACCACCATGACCATCAACATCAGCATCATCATCATCGACATCATCGACATCATCACCATCATCATCATCATCATCATCATCATCATCATCATCATCGGGACACCGACTGGACACCGGCGGGGCACCGGCGGGACACCGGCGGGACACCGCGGGCCACCGGTCCCCGGAAAGGAATCATTTGGTCCGGCCGCGCCTCAGCCAGAGGCGGGACACAGGCGGGACACCGCGGGCCACCGGCACCTGGAAAGAAATCATTTGGTCCGGCCGCGACTCAGCCGGAGGAGTTTTTCTTGTCGCCCGCCCACGCAGCTTCGCCTTGCCCGCACGCACGGCACGCACGAACACGAAACCGAAACCGATTTCCCGGTAGGGGGGCTCTCCGTTCCACTTCGATCTCACCCCCTCACCTCCGAGGAATGCATGCATGCATGTATGTTTGTGGGTTTGTATGTATGTATGTATGTATGTACGTAGGTATATTTGTTTCTATATACACATATACCAGAGCCACACGCGCGCTTCGCGCGCTCAGGTTCTAGCGCAGACGCTCCCGATTTCAAGCTCAACTTGGAATGAAGAGGGGGGTGTCCTCGATGACGGCGGCGCAGAAGACGGCTGCGACAACGGTGACAACGACCCACGAGGACGTCGTGCCTTCGACTTTCAAGTGTCGTCTTGTGCCGACGCTGGGGGTGTTCGAACGTTGTTGATACCGTTATCGCTGAAGGTTTCCGCTGTCTTCTGTTCCACCTCCCTCATCTCCATGTCCCCCTCCTTCGCCTCGTCCTCCACCTCTTCCCCGCCTCCTCCTCTTTTCTCTCCTTCTCTGTACATTATTCCTTCTCTTCCTGCTTTCCTCGTCCTCCTCCTCATCTCCGCCTCCTCCTCCTCGGTCTCCTCTGCTTCCCCCTCCCTTCTCCTCCGTTTTCATCCTGATCGTCCTCTTCCAGCGTGGTCCAGAAGAGTCTTGCCGGAACGCGCTCTGCAGAATCACGGAGGTTGTTTCCTTTGCCACCCTCCTCCTCCCCCTCCTGATCAATCCAACCTCCTTCGGATCCACGCCTCAGCCTTCTGCTCCTCCTCCTCCTCCTCCTCCTCCTCCTCCTCTTCCTCCTCCGTGTCACCTGATCCCTCCCTTGTTCCGCCTCCTCCTCCTTGTCCTTCCACTCCCTTACATGCAGAGTGTCTTTGAAGCGTCTTTGAGGCCTGTTAGGAGCCGCTTGGAGTGCTCTTGGGGCCGTTTTGGGCGCATCTCGGCGGTTGCTTTAGAGCGTCTTTTGGGCCTCTTGGCAGCCTTTTGGAGCCCTCTTGGGGCCTCTTGCGGGACTCTTGGGTCTTCCTGGGAGCCTCTTGGGGCGGAAGCCTAGGATTGTTGGTCCGTGCCTCCCCTCTGGAGCTCCTCTTGGAACCGTCTTCGGGCCCTCTTGGGCCGTCTTGGGCGCCTCTTGGGCCGTCTTGGGGCCCTCTTGTGCTGGCGTGGGGCGGTCTTGGGAGCCTCTTGGGCTGTCTTGGAGCGGTCTTGGGGGCCTCCCGGACAGTTTTGGAGCGTCGGGAACTCGACCAAACGAACAAAAACAAACACATTAAACAACCAACAGGAAATCAATGTATTGTGCCTGTTGGAGCCCTCGCGGGAACAGTCTTGGGGCTCTCTCGGAGGGTATCCCAGGCTTCTTGAGCCGTCTGGAGGCCATTTGGGGCGTTTGAGTGTAGCGCTCGACGGCTCTGAGGCCCTCTCGGGTCTCCCTGCGCCCTCTTGGGGCCCTCTCCGCCCGCTCCGGGGCCGGCCAGGACCTTGGCATCGCTCGGACGTGTGCATTTTTCCTTCGGCGAGGACCATCGAGGAGCATCCTCGATCAGTTGGCGAAAAAGCCACGCACGAAACCGAAGAAAACACAGGAAATGGACGTCCGAGCGATGGCCAGGGACCGTCACAAGGGGGTCCTGGGAAGCAATCCGTGGCCCCGGCCCGGGCGAGCGCCGCCCCTGGCTGCAGGCCCGTTCGGCCGGCACCGAACGATCTGCGCTGTCGGAAGGCCGCGATCGCTCGGGGCCGAACGACCCGCGCGGTGTCGTAAAACGACGCTTCGGAGATCGGGACAGAATCGGATCTGGATAACTCGAAATCTCTGAGAATCGGCGGGTTTGGAGGATGTATGGGGCGCCGCGGCCGCTCCAGAGCGTTCCGGAACGCTCTGAGAGCGCTCCGGAACGCTCTGGAGCGGTTTCTCCCGATCCTAGCCCTGTTTTATGTCGGACCTGCCCTGCTCGCTGCTCGCCACCCCTGCGTGCTCCCCTGCCCCGCGGCCCCTCACAGGAGGCTGCGCCCCCCGGAGCTCTGCGGAGCATCGGCAGCGCGAGGCGCGGCGACGGGGCGGGCAAGGGAGGGCTGGATCGCTTCGGGTCCTTCGTGGTGTCCAGCCGCTTCTCCTCGGTGGCCTTCCCGGCTGGCGGCTCCTGCGTTTCCGAGCGGTGTTCCCATGGTCTCACGTGGTGCGGTCGGGAAAGTGTATGTTTAGCGTGTGCCGCCGCCAGTTTTGGCCCACCACACTTCGGCACGACACGCCAACCAAGTCCCAGTCCCAAGCATCAGCGTTTCGATCTTTTCCCAGCCTCCCGCCCCGCCAAGTTGAGCACCGTGTCGCAGGGGCAGCAGCCCCGACACGATGAGCAAAAGTTCGTGACTGTACTCACCACGACCGTGGTTGGAACAAGTGCGTTGCCTCTGCCCACACCCATTCTGACCAATAAAGTTTCGACCCTGGAGGATCGAGGGAAGGACCCTCGGGGATCGAGGGAGGAGGGGGATGGGGAGGAGGAGAAGGAAGAGGAGGAGGAGGAGGAGGAGACGGATTGCCAAATGCAATTTGCATGCAACGCACGGAGGGAGGAGGACGATGATGAGGAAGAGGAGGAGGAGGAAGAGGAGGTGGTGGAGGCTCTGTACCCCTCCGACCTTCCCCTTCACCCTCAAGTGGAGAAGGTGAGGAGTAGGAGGACTCTCGAGGACTCGATCGAAGCGAAGCGGTTGCCCACCCGCTGCCCCGCAGGGCGTGCGGGGCCCTCCACTGGCGCGGCGAAGAAGTAGCAGACAAGCTCCATGACGAGCAGCCCGACGCCAGCAGCGCTTTACCGCTACCCTAGGAGCTCCCGCCACGTCGGTACTGACCCCCCTTAAGCGTATCCACGACGGGCGGCCTCTCGCAGGAGCTCTCTCCCAGCGGGGAAGTGCGGTACTGACCCCTCGAAGGGGCGTGCTCACACAGGTGCTCACCCAGGAGTTTTCGGAGGTACTGACCCCCCGAAGAGGCGTGTTCACGCTGGTGGCAGCTGGCCCAGGTCCTCCGACAGGAGCAGCTCCAGGAAGAAGAAGAAGAAGTCTGACCGGCGTCACAGCGGTGCCATGCTCGCACTGCCACCATCCTTTGGGGCGCACCAGCGCGCAGGGCCCAGGAGCCAGCCCCAATCAAGACCGAGGAGGGACAGGAATGGCCGCAGCCGCCATAGCGTCCTCGGATTCCGCGAGCAGCCACGGCCGCCGCCAAACGATTCTGCGCACGCTGCATCGAGAACCGCGCCAAATCCGCTGGGCCCAGCGGCGGCCGAGGTTGGGCAATCGGGAGTAGAGTGGCGCGGGCCAGCCGCGCGGCGCGCCAGGCTGTGCGTGCCCAAAGTGGGTCTCCACCATGGTCATCCTCACCTCCGTGCAACGCGTGGCCCCTAAGTCAAGCCCGTCGGCCGCCACCACATGCGAAGGCGCAGCTGCCTCGGCTGCCGCTGCCCGCGGCCGCCGCCGCCTCCAAGTCCGCCTCGCGTGGCAGTGCCCACGCGAGCGCCAGCGGTACCTCCGACTGCTGCTTTGCCTGCGGGTTGCCCAGCGTCTCTCCACGGAGCGCGCTGGCTGTGGCCCTGGACGATCGCGCTCTCCTCCGCCAGCTTCGGCGGCCTGCGGCAGCGCACTTGCCGCGGCCGCTGCGCGCTGGCGGCCACGGCTGCCGCGCGCGCGGCCGCGCGCCGCCGCCGAGGGAGAAGCCTCCTGAACCTCCGACGCCGCCACATCGGCAGCCCAGGAGGACGTCGACAGTGTCGCCGACGGAGGGGCCATCATCAGAGTCGTCGCCACATCAGGCGCCCGGTCGAGCACCGACAGCTGCCGATGCTCCTGGGGCGCCCGACGCACCAAGTCCAAGGGCTGCCCTGCGCGTCGCGGGCGGTCAGAGACGCCTCCACCAGAGCACCCTCGGACACCGCAACCACGCATGCTTCGGCCATTGGGCATGCCCGCAACGATGCCTCGCCTGTCCCAGAGGTCGAACAAGCAGCCGAGCGCGATGGGGAAGGCAGTCATGGAGGAGATGACCGCGAAGAAGGCCCAGAGTTCCTCTCTCCAGGATGGGGGCCGCGCGGGGCGAGGGCAGCTGCGGGCTCAAGCCGCAAGGTCGCGCAGCCGATCGCCTCCCCCCTCGCGCCGTCGCCGCCGATCGCCCGCCCGCCTCGTGCAGCCCCGTGCGCCTTCGCCCGGGCCCTTCCAGCACAGGGCTGAGCCCGTTGCGCGGCCTCACCGCGCCGGAGGCGCCCATGGAGGAGCGGGCGCGCTCTCCGACGCCACCTTCGCCGCGCGGCGAAGCTGACAGGGCAGTCGCCACCCTCGTCAGGGAGCGGCGCTCAGCGACGCCGCCGCGCCGGCGGCGGCGCGACAGCGCCTGTTCAGCGCCGAGGTCACGGAGCCAATGGTGCGCGCAGCCTTCCTCCACGAGGTTCGCCGCGCCGCTGGCTGGGCGACGGGCGCCAGGCCGACCATCAACCGCGAACCCATCTCGGCCGGGAGGGCGCTGTTCAACGCGAAGCTCATCAAGGTCCGGGCTTCGCGCGCCCCCCAGACGAGGTTTGAGTGCCGCTGTTTCTGGGAGCTGCTCGACCTGGGCAGCCGGCCAGGCAACGGCCGCGACCGCCTTCGCTCCGCGGACGAGGCCGCTGAGGAGCTGCCCGCCAGCAAGAGCGGCCCTCGGAGAAGGCCGCCCTCAGGTCGAGGTCGGCCCCCCGCAGCGGGCGCGCGCCTCGGTCGCCGCGCCCCCCGCCCAAAGCGCGCGCAGGCCAGGCGCCCCGCCGCGTCGCGCTCCGCGATCTCCGCGGCAGCAGCGGCGGCGTCGTTGGCGCGGGGGCCGCCTGCGCCACGGCCGCCCGCCGGCAGTCGAGCCCCCGTGGGGCCGCGAGGTCGCGCGGCCCAGCCGTCGAGCAAGGCGGGCAAGGGCAACGGCAAGTGCACGGGGAAGGGCAATAATGACGACGACAACACCGCGCCCGAGGAAACTGCGACGGGGGGGCGAGAAGCCCAATCGTCGGCGCGCGGCCACATCATCGAACGCAGCAGCCGGCCCTGGCGAGGGCGACAAGGCGTCAGTGGACGGCGCCGACCCCGGCGCGCCAAGCGAGGAGGTGCAGGCGCGCGGCCGCGGCAGCCCCCGCCTTCGAAACAGCGACTGATGCCGGTTAGCTCGAAGCGATCTTGCAAAGCGCATCTCCCACGGTTGGCCTTCCTTCTTCTACCTGCTCCACACCTACCTGGCCAAGGTCTCGCCGCGCCTCGACCTCGCCCCTCTACGCGGCCTCGAACCCCCGCCTCGCCTGACATCTGCGGTCGCGCTCAGACATTTTGTCTTCGGTTCAAGGGTCACCAAACATGCGCCGGCGCGGCCCGGCCCAATTCGCGCCGCCACTGCTGGCGCGAGCTCTTCCAGCACCGCGCCGAAGAGCGCGAGCGAGCCCCCGGCAGCCGGCGAGCCCGCCCTCCGCCGCGCCGCCAGGCCAGGCCAGACAATGATGGCGCATCTCTGCTGAGTCGCGAATGTGCTTGGGTTTCGACAGTTTTGACTCCCGCGCCCCATTCCCGCCCCCCCCCCCCAGAGCTGTTCAGTCGCCCGCGCCGCGTGGCCCCAGCGCCAGCGCGCGCAAACAGCGCGTTGCGAAGGCCTCGCGGCTGGCGCAAGAGGTTGGCTCGAAGCAAAGCCCCAGGCATTTGCGCCAGGCATATGTCCCATGTCAGCAGCAGCGGGAAGTCCCGGAGGAGGGCCCGCTCTTCGTGCCCGGCGCGAACGGCCACAGCATTCTTTTCGTCCGCAGAGGAGACGCGCGGCGATCGCTCGCCGCGAGGAGTCGCATTTAGTAGAGAACGCGCAGCTAAAGGTATAATGGAGGTTCTTGCAGAAACAGCTGTCAACGTGGGAGCAATGGTGGTGCGGCGGCAACTCGCAGGAACAATCTCAGTTGAGCAGGTCGCATGAGTTTGCAAGCTTGCCCCCCGTCGCTAAGTACGCAGAGACAGAGGCTATCGCGGATGCGGAGCGCACGGAGCGCGCCGGGAGAGACCTGGGATGAGTTGCGAGACATGTTTTCCAATTGGCGGCAAGAACGATCCAAGGCACCCGGCGTGGGTGCGAGACTCGCCGGCGAGCGTCGGGGCGGGCGCGCGCGGCGCAGCAGCAGCGCGACAGTTGCTTTCCCAGGGCGCTGACAAACTCACGGCGCCGAGGCAGAAGATCCTGGCACATTCTCGGACGTGCGTTCCAGAAAATGGCATGGCGAGCCACGCGTTTAAACGAACAACTCTGGAGACCAGGACGCAATCCCGAAAGAGGCTAGAACACGACGAGCACAACCAGCGCTATCCTGGCACGAGTCAGGACTGTCCGCGGGAACAGACGCGCGGGGAACATTTTGACGACGCCCGCGGCCCGTTACTCAAGAGTGGCACGTGTCTGCGCATGTCGCGGCATTTACAGCGTTCTTCAAAAGATGTAAAATTGGGCGACGCGAACAAGTGATGCGACATCCCCCCTGCCTTTCATTTCTACTGGCGACTGTAAGAAGCACGAGCGGAAGAAGAACACGAATATCATCAAGACGTGAGTTTCGGCGCCCCGGCGCTTCCACTGCGCGCTAGGAGGGCCGCGCTCTGGCGCGGGCTGCGGCGCCTGCCCCGCCCCTGCCCGCGGCCAGCGCTGCGGACCCCGCGCGCGAGGATGGCGGGGAGATGGGGCGGGGGGAAGACGAGGGGGGGGGTGGGCGCCTCTTGGGTCTTCCCGGGGGGCCCATCGGGGCCTCGCTGGGGGCGTGCCGGGGCCCCCCGGGAAGCTCTTGGCCCGAGAGGTCCAAGGCTCTTTTCGAGATCCTTGCGCGGGCGCGCTTCGGGGGCCGCCTCAGGGGCCCCCTGCGCCGCGCGGGAGGCATCTTGGGCTGTCTGCGGGGCCCTCGCGGGTCGAATCGGGGCCCTTTGTTTTGAAAATTTCTGGGGCGATCGCGGGGGCCCCTTGGGCTCCCTCGGAGCGTCGGGGAGCCGCGAAGGCAAGAACACCAACATGTTC